ATACCATCGACAAGTCGCTATTACATCATTCTGAGTTTCGCATTGAAAGGTATAAACTGTAATTGTTTTGAAATTAAATTTTATATGAATTTCTTTCAGACATTCGATGTAATTTATTAATTAAGCAGCCTATTTCTTTTAATTTCTGCAAACTTTTTTATGCGGTTTTAAGTTAATTTTAACTCGTTGTTTTGGTTTTATGCGATTTTAGAAAATTACGGAACGTATCCCTACTTTTTCAAGGCAAGTAAAGTCTTTTTTTATGCAAATTTTTTTATGCGCTTTTCTGTAGAATGTATCCACCGCATAAAATGAGACCTTACAGTATTTTGTTTTATATAATACAGAATTTAAAAACAACTTTCTTGGTGTTGCAACTTTCACAGACAGCAATGTGTATAATGAAATAATATAAATAATATTTCAATTTAGTTATACTGAGACATTTAGTTACTAATTTTATGAAAAATGTATACAAGTTTGATACTACTATACTTTACTAAAGTGAAACTTTTATAAATACGATGCAATCCATAAAAAGGTACCTTGGGTCAGAATAATCAATTTTTATTTTTTGGGTGAATCTTATTCTGCATAATAAGAATTATTTTAAAAAACCTTTATTGGTTAAAATCGAATGAGGTACTGTACAGCATTTTGAAAATTTAGATGTAAAGCCCTTGAGATGGATATTGTTCTTGAAATTGTTAAAGTATAGTCAATGTTTTATTTGTGAAATCCAATAAATTAATTTTGGAACATTAGTTTTTATATGATTTGATGGTTTTTTTCCTACTTTTATAAGTGAATTTGTAAAATTACAATTATTTCAGATTTTATTAGAAGGAGAAGAATTACAACATCCTTATGGTTTGGTTCATCATGATCAGTTTTTATTTTGGACAGAATTTCAGCAAGGATTTATACAAAGGTTGTCAATACCAGACAAAACCATAACTACATTGGTTAAAGAAAATCCTCCTGTCTTTGAAATTAAATTATTTGATAGAAGTTCTCAAACAGGTATGATTAATCATATTTAAAACATTTATATTTTGAATAATAATAATAATAATAATAATAATAATAACTCTCCCGTGGTCACCACATGGTCGTGGTGGGAGAGCCCAGTAGTTTTACAGATCCATAGGGCAATGCAGGCTGGAGCACAAGCTCCTGGTAGGGACACCCATGCTAGTAAGGTCTATGGGGAGAAATGAAGCTAAGAGTGACCACACACCCACATTCTGTGGAGATAATCATTATGGTAGTAACCAGATCTAAGTATGATACCGGCTCGGACGTCGCCCGGGTTAACAAGGTCCACGTTCGTGGGTTAGGCAGAGGCTCACGTTCGAAAAATAGGCTCCAGTCTCCCTTGGTTACCGGTGGCGAAAGCAGCNTGTACCGAGTATAACCCACTAAACCCAACACATAATAATAATAATAATAAATGATGATATAATTAAATTGAAAAATTAATTATTTAAATAGGAACAGAATTGGCTTGATATTTATGAAATAACGATATATAATAATTGATATTTTTGTATTTTATATTTTTATTTCAAAATTTCAGCATTTTTATTTTATTCTTTCCTTTTGTAGTTTTATCTTAAATATAATAATAATTAAAATTTTCATATTGTTTCTAATTATTAAAGATGACATACAAGTATATAAATGTTTTAATGAACTTCAGAATTAAATATTAAATTTTATTTAATTTTTACTAAATATTTGTATTACTATCATATATAGAATCTCAAGGCTGATGAAATATTATCATTACTTATTGAGCCATGGAAATTTATTATCCTAAAGTAGAAATAAAACTAAAAGTAAATGCTTTACTTAAAAAATAAATTTACATAAGATTTTTATTTCTGTTGATAAGCTGGTATCCAAAAAGTAAGTATAATTATCAGATTTGTAATTATTGCAAAAATGAACACAACTAATACCCTGTTTCCCCGAAAATAAGAGTGTCTTATATTAATTTTTGCTTTCAAAGATGCACTAGGTCTTATTTTCAGGGGATGTCTTATTTTTCCATGAAGAAGAATTTACATTTATTATTGAACAAAAAAATTCCCAAGTCGAACTTAGACGAGAGTGATGTATATCCAGTTGTGTAGAACTGAGCTTAAATAAAACCGAAGTCACGAACTGAAGTGAACTTATGAAGTTCTTGTGCTGGAGTGGACTTCCCACTCTTTCTTTAACTTAACCTTTTTATAGCGTTGACATCAGGCTTGATGACCAATTAGTGCTTACTGAACCTTAGTATTATGCAAATGTGATGTGGCGTGATTCCCGGCCGACCAATTAGTGATCATCAGCTGTAACGTTATGCAAATCTCATTTCCAAGTTATAGTCTTTTGCAAATTATGCTGTGTGGCATGATTGTCTGCTGACCAATCAGTGGCTGTACTTTCAAAAAGCCAATGGCCACTTTCAACCATCTGCCGATGAATGTTACGAGTAAAAAAAACGGAGGCAGTAGACTAAAAAAGAAGGTTGTCTCCATGAGTATTTGTGTTTTTTTAATGAAGTGCTGATGGTGTGAACAATGAAAAAATGACTGAAACAAAGAATTTTTTTTTTGTAAAAAAGTTGCATTTATATTTATTATATTAATATTAAATAATTGTTGGCCATGTAAACTTATTATTTTTACTTAAAATGTATCATGTGATTGTGGCAAGAACACCAGAAGACGCTTTTATCATTTTTTGCATTTTAACTACAGAGGCAGTAGCCTAAAAAGGAAGGTCGTCTCTGTGAGTATTTGTGTTTTTTTAATGAAGTGCTGATGGTGTGAACAATGAAAAAATGACTGAAACAAAGAATTTTTCTTTGTAAAAAAGTTGTATTTATATTTATTATATTAATAAAAAAAACTTTGCTAGGTCTTACTTTTGGGGGAAGCCTTACATTTAGCAATTCAGCAAAACTTATGCTAAGTGTTATTTTCAGAGGATATCTTATTTTCAGGGAAACACGGTAGTAGAAAAATGTATAGTATTACCATACATGTACAAAAATCAATATTCATTCAACAGTTATGATAAAAAAGCAAATTTATGCAAAGTATGCAATGGTTTTCACCTGGGGTGCTTTAGCACACTAATAATAAGTTACACATAAGAAGTACAATAATTCTACATTGATAAAGAATTAGGGGTGCTGCAAGACAAAAAACCAAGTTGAGGATGCCACTTGCAGAAAAAAGTTGAAAAACACTGTGTTGTTATATTAAGTTTGCTAATTTTACTAAAACTTCTAAATATTATTTATAGGCACTAATGATTGCTCAAATAATAATGGTGGCTGTGAAGAACTTTGTTTATCGATTCCTGGAGGTAAAAGTGTTTGTGCTTGTAGTGATGGCAATGTTTCTTCTGGAGATGGATTTTCATGTGAAGGTATAGTATTTTTATTTTAAAAACATGTTATTACTACTACAAAATAGTTTGATTTTACTTTAGAAGTAATTTTTCAAGTTAATTAAGCAAACTTCTGAAGATTATTTTATTATTTATAAAAATATCTTTTAATTTGGATTTCAGAATGCAGTCAATATTTGTTTTTTTATTGTTAATATTTAAGATTTGTAATTATATTTAAGAGAAGATAATAATATGAAAAATTATAATAGAATTTTTAGTAATTCATAAAACTACTACAGCTATATATGGCATTAATGTAGCAAATCTAATGTTGCTTACTTATAACATGTTGAGAAAATATAAAAGTACATTTGTAATCATTTACAGTTATTGTTTTTGAATTTTCTTTACTCTATTTAAACTATTATTTTTGAATTATTGTTTCTAAATATGTGAAGTAGTTATCAAGATAATGAACAGAAATTTTAATTAAATTGAACTTAGATTTTAAAGATTATAGAGAATTATTCATTAATAATTGAAAATAGAAATGTGCAATGAAGAATGTGACTGAATAAATAAACAATAATTATTTAAAACTATTCTAGATATTGAAATATTAAAATACATTTTTAAATTAAAAGTACTAATTACTGAAATTATCCAAATATTTTTTAGGTTCTCTTAATTATACAACTCCTCCACGCTGTCACAGTGATGAGTTCGAGTGTGAAATATTTGTATTACTATCATATATAGAATCTCAAGGCTGATGAAATATTATCATTACTTATTGAGCCATGGAAATTTATTATCCTAAAGTAGAAATAAAACTAAAAGTAAATGCTTTACTTAAAAAATAAATTTACATAAGATTTTTATTTCTGTTGATAAGCTGGTATCCAAAAAGTAAGTATAATTATCAGATTTGTAATTATTGCAAAAATGAACACAACTAATACCCTGTTTCCCCGAAAATAAGAGTGTCTTATATTAATTTTTGCTTTCAAAGATGCACTAGGTCTTATTTTCAGGGGATGTCTTATTTTTCCATGAAGAAGAATTTACATTTATTATTGAACAAAAAAATTCCCAAGTCGAACTTAGACGAGAGTGATGTATATCCAGTTGTGTAGAACTGAGCTTAAATAAAACCGAAGTCACGAACNTAAAAGTACTAATTACTGAAATTATCCAAATATTTTTTAGGTTCTCTTAATTATACAACTCCTCCACGCTGTCACAGTGATGAGTTCGAGTGTGTCAAAAATCTGAGATGCATTGACAAACGATATTTATGTGATGGTGATAATGATTGTGGAGATGGATCTGATGAAGATTCCTCTCCAAATGGAGTTTGTGGTAATAATTCTTAAAAATTTTATTTTTATTCACATTGGAAACTTATAGATAATTTAATGATGATAACTTTTTATATTAAAAATAATTTCAAATATTATAGCATAAATCATATTATTTTGCAGTTTTTAAATTGCTACTTTTTTGATTATTTTATCATAGTTCATTTGAATCATTCCATACTAACAGGATAAGATCCACATACCTTATACATAACATGAAAAATGTATAAATCAGAGCTGCCATAAACCACCTTTCATTCCAAGGTTCTCATAACAATTTTTGCAAGTATAGTGCATAAAAGAGAGCTTATTGGTACACTATGTTTTTGCAGATAATAACAACCATTAAAATGGGAGTAATTGTTGTTGACCATCAACTATAATATTTCTTTTATTGTCAGAACCTAATGGATACCAAAACCATTGTTTAACATTTATTTATTTATTTGCTTATTAATAAGTTAATATTAAACAGCAATCTGCACATTGTACTGCACATTTTTCCATATTCATATTGTAGCACAATGTGCATATTTGACGAGGCAGTTATGTCATCTTTCTGTAAGTCTATAAATAAAGGTTAGAAGTGATTGAATCTTTTTGTGTACGAAATGGTACCATAATGTAACTGTTTATTCAGACAGTTGATTTGTATATGATATTCAATTTTGTATTTTATATTCCTGACTTGAATTTTATTGAAAGAAACTTCTTAAATAAAATTAGAATGAAATGGAAATTGAGTTGAATCATAGCATTCCTTGATTTTGACAGCAAGGAATATATTAAAGTAATTATTTTTTTTAATATAAATAACAATCAAAATTAATTAAAACTTAATGTAAATAACATCTACATGCAATCTGAAACAAAGCTAAAACTGTAATAAAATGGAAGTTTATCTGATGATTAATTTGATGAAAACAGCTAAAAAAAATAACAAAACATATAATTTGATATAAAATGGTTTGAATTGAATTAATTCATTAATATTACTCTGAAATAACAATTTAATTTTTTCACTTTCAGGGCAAAGTACAATAACCAAAGAAATGTCAAATCACAATTTCAGTTTCTAACAATTTCAGTTCCTATTTTGCAGAAGAAATCATCAGATTTTTAGTACCCATGCCCGTAAGATTATGAACAGTGGTATGTAGATATGTTCAAGTAAAAATGGGGCTGTAGCACTGATTGTATGTTGGTACATTTTAATTAATAACTAAGTCAAAGTGTCATTTTAGTAATTTTAAATTACACTATTAGAATCCATGCAAAAGGTTATGTCTAGTAGACCTTTTTCAGTCCTGTAGACAGTTTCTTATTAATTTCTATAGTAGACAAACACACACATTAGCACTGTTGCTACTAGGGTATTTTATGCCTGTGTGTGGTCCTGTTTTTTTGCACCTACTATGAATTTGTGCACATATGTCATGAATTCCTACATTTAGATCATCATCAAAACTCATTTGAATTGGATTTGGATGGTAGAAACATCTGGCAACATTGTTATATATTAGTCCCTATAGTCTATACAAGTTTATTCCTTGCAGAATGAGGACCACTTCTCATAAATTAATTTTGCAATACAAATTGCATAATCATGTGTATGAGAAGTGATGAAAATGTAAAATAAAGAAACAAAATATTATGTTGAAAAAGTAAAATTGTAAGTATTAATTGTTAGAGTAGCAGAATTCTTAATTTTTAATATAACAACTTTTAAGTTAATAATAACAACTCTTAACTTTTTCAACATAAAAATTTGTTCCTCTTTTTCATTTTACATTTCAAATCAAGCACTTAATCAGATAGGTGTTTTGACACATCCATGACAATAGAGTCTGTGTTTGTGTTGTGCACATCTACATGCTTGCTTGTGGCAGCCCTGTTTATAAGATTTAAGATACAGTGAAAAGCATTGAAAAATAAATATTGCATTATTTACTATTTTATACTAAGGAAAAATTTACAGTACAAAGAATTACTTTTTATATATATTTAATAAAATAAATAGTTAGTATATTTTTAAAAATATACTTGAATTGAAACAAAATTTTAATTATTAAAATAATTAAATCTGTAAAATAAGATATTTAGTTTGATGTTATAATTTTAAATATAATGTTAGACTTATGACTATTATTATCGTTATTAATATAATATTATCAATAATTATCTTTTTAGAAAAAGTGACTTGTCATGGAGATCAATATAAATGTGACAAAAACAGATGTATTTCAATCCATTGGGTTTGTGATGGTGAAAAAGATTGTGTTGATGGCTCTGATGAAGAACCAATTATGAAATGTAAAAGTAAGTAATTATTTTCATTGTTATAAATTTATTTTTATAACAAATACAAAGTAAAGCTTGAATTATATGATAAAGCTGTTTAATATAAAATGTATATATTTGTTATATTATTATTAATAGCAATGATGAAGAATATCTTTGATGTTGAAATCTTTATTCAACAGTTTAGATAAAAATTAAATTTTCATTCTATATCTTAAATTTTTAAGGTGCCATTATTACTAAAAATTTAGTGTCAGTTTTTTGGTTTGAAATATTTCATTACTTTATTTATAATTATAAATAAAAAAGATTTAAACAGATCGAAAAAAATCTGAATTAGGAGACTATTATACTCTGATGAAAATTGTCTCTGATTTTTTTTTACATCTGAAGATGAGAAATGAAATATTTCAAAAATTTTTCTTATTAAAAATGAACTATTAATTTTTATAAACTGTGTTGTAATGATACTTCACTGATCAGTCAAATTATGTTTTTTTAAAAACCTTAACATGCTAGAGAAATGACTTTTATTGATATAAATTATTGTTTAGAAGATATATTTTCGATTTTATGCTAATAGATGAAAATATAACATATGTGAGAATAAGATTAAAACATATACAGTATAACGTTATTTTATATATAAAGAGAAATAATTGAAAATTTAAATCTATTTTCTTATCTCAAAGCATTTTCTTATAATTTAATACATAACTTTCTTATGTCAGAAGGTTTTGGACACTAGAAGAAAAAATATTTAATTATTTATAGTATATGTCTTTATCATTTTACTGTAATTAGCAAATTGTTCTTATAAGCAACTTTTGGAGACCCAAAAAATTGATAATTGAATAAAGCAAGTTCTTGGTTTATTCAACTATTATTTTTGGGGATTTTATGGAGGAAATTTTTTCTTTTTTGGAATTTCTCTGTGTAGTTGTTAGAAGTTTATAACAAAAATACCCATTTCCATAACTGAAGTTGACATTGGTGACATTAATGCAAGTTAAACTTCACATTTGTGAAAAAATGCTTCATGAAACCTTTGATTTTTGAAATTTCAGATAAGAGATTAACACTCTGTATTTAGTTTTGTCATAATTTATATTATTATTACCACAGGTTACCAGTGCCAAATTGAAAACATGCATAATGATATTTTTAGTTTATTATAAAGATAATATTGTAAATTTTAATTAAAATACAAAAATTTTAATAATAGTTTTACTGAATTTTAACATTTATATATTTATTTTAAAACTTATTTTGTTTGTTATAGATGTTACTTGTAGTTCCAATCAGTTTACTTGCAAAGTAAGTAATCGATGCATTCCATTAAGCTGGACTTGCGATTCTGATTTAGATTGTGGTGAAGGAGATACTTCTGATGAACATGATCAGTGTGGTAAATGATTTATGATATCTTTTGCTTAGTTTATTTGTATTCATTTATACATTATACATATTTTTTGTTCGAAAATTTTTTTCAAACAAAAAATATTTATACCTAAATTTTATACCTTAGAATTTATTGTTTATATATTTATATTTTTTAGTTTTGAAAGTTCAAAAATTTTTGAAGACTTGGAATAATGACATTATAAAAAATAATAATAATAACTTCTATAGTATTTTATAAGAACTTTTCTCAATTCTTTAGCTTACTATAGTAAAATAATTATTTTATTAATATTGTATTTTAAATTGTGGGTTAAAGTTAACAATCTTTAAAGCAAAGTATTTAAAGTTTAGTGATCTATTTATTTATTTATTTAATTTTTTTGAAAGAGAATATTTGAATTGAACCTAAAGTTTAAAGATATTTTGACTGTTCAACAGGAAAAATTTGACAAAGATAGCTTAATGATAATCATTTTGAGATTGTTAGATTATAAATAAAATGATAATGTTTTTTTTCCCAATTTTTCAATATTTTTAATTGTAAATAATTAAAAATTAATATTATCAAAAGGCAATAATTCTTCATTTTACTTGAATTTTTGCATATATAGTATTTCCTAAGCTCATTCATACTTTAATCTTAATATATTCTTTAAATACTCATAATTATGATTTAATAAAATATGTTCTAAAATCTAATATTATCTAATATCAAAGCTATATTAAGTATTAAAACACATTAAAAGTTAACTGAAAAATAGAAATATAATATAAATACTTTATACTAATCATTTATATGAACATAATTTCACATATTTACAAATTTACATATTCATATAATTATGAACATAAATTATTGCAGTGATACATTACATGTTTACACTCGACTTTATCTGGATTTATTGCAACATAAATTATTACATTTCTATATGGTATATGAAATAAAAATTACCAAATTGTATAAATAATGAAAAAAAAAAATTATTAAAAAGTTATATTCTCTTTTGAATTTTATTTAATGTTTTATATTTCAATATAGATGATTTCTGATGTGTAGTCTTTTGAAAGATACATTAATATTGTGATTGTATTATCTTCTAATTGTTTCAAATAGTGTAGGTTAGAATGAAAGTTAAAACTTTTAATGCTTGATTTTTATCTATTTAGTACAATTTATTACATTTTTCAGTGTTTAATACTTTTCTAATGGGAATTTAATATTTTTGTAAGTTGTTTATTTAATATGTTTTATATTTATGAACATAATTTATTTTTAGATCTTTGATGTTCCGGAGAATTGTCTAGCACAAGGAGGACTTTAAATGGAAACACCTTTTCTTTGACTTTGGGAATGAAGTAATAGTGGAACCAGTCCAAAAAGAAGCTTTTGTTCAAATTTTCTTGTTCCACATCCAATACACAGGCAGCATAGTCTTGTTACATCCTTTAAATACTTTGATTTTTTGCTTGGTAAATTAGACCAGACTTTTTCATATGACTTGCTGCAAAGTTTCAGCATAGCACAATTTCTTTTCACCTTGGAGCCTGTGATGATCTTTTCTTTATTGGCTATATAGGTGTGCTAAGGCATCTTCTCCCAAAACAGTGCTGTCTTGATGTTGTGAACCTATTTAGGTTTATGTCTGTTCTCATTAATGAGAAGTTTCAGATGCACAAAGAAGGCCTTAGCAGAACTTGGTCTGCTGAAGTGGACTCCCCTGATGTTTGTTGCATAGTGAATAACATATTCTGGCATCAGCCTGTACTGATAACAAAAGCAATGTTTGTAATGCTGACGGTTGAGAAATTCCTGTTGATTAAATCTGTCCTAAATGATGAGGGTCCTGACAACTATAATACTAAAATTCAGAGACAGGTTTTTCTTTTATTGAACTTTGATCAAGATAAATAATATATTCTTTGTTTTAGACACATCATGTAATTATGCACATAACTTTTGTATTTAGCAGTATTAATTTCACCAGTTTGCATTGACTCTCTGATCTAATTCTTGTGTTTTTTTATGTATCATATGATGCTTTTATTGACATAATATGTGACAGTAGTTCATATGTTTGAGAGATCTCAACACTCGTCTAGAAGCTGCACTTTCTCATCTAAAGTCATCACTTTTTTGATCTTTTTGATGCATTTCTTTTAATACTTATGGTATTCAATTAATCAAAGTTATTGTAAATACAAGCATCTGGACTAAGAAACAACAGATGTCATCCTCAGATGTTAAAATTTTCATTTTGTCATGCATGGTCAAAAGGTTTAGTTTCAGTTACTTTTACTTAACTTGCATATTGTATACACAAAACATTTTCTGCTTTTTTTTATGTCTATACTTGAACCTTCTAGTTTTGTTTCATCTCAATAATTTTTGCTAAAGGTAGGCTGTAGAAAATTGTTTGTAATTTTAATTCTATTACTTTTGTTCTACAGTGAATTTAATGATAAAAATATCTGTGTGTTTTAATAGTCAGAATTACCCCTTGTGCATCCAAGAGTTAACCTAACATTCACCAACTATGAATGAATCCATATAAGACCATACTCTACTAATTTCTTGTAATATAAATTTGTTGTCACAAAATCTCCTAATTGTTTAGAACAGTATTTTTTTACTGTATACTTAAAAAAACTTTAATACATTAATATATTAGGTAATCTAGAACAGAATTAAATTCTTAGTTTTGCTATATTAAATAATAACATATTAATATATAGTTAAATTTTTTGTTAACTATTTGTAATAGAATTATATTAATTATAGTTGGTTATTTGAATTATCGAATTTATTGTGTAATATTTTAGTTTATAGGAAATGTGAAGTTATGGAATTTCGTTGTGATAATCAGCGTTGTATTCCACAAGAATATGTATGCGATGGAGATGATGATTGTAAAGATAGTTCTGATGAAAGAAATTGTGACTACTCTTGTAATGGAACGCATCAGTTTTCTTGTGATAATAATTTTAAATGTTTAGATGCATCTCATAAATGTAATGGTATTTGGGATTGTCTAGATGGATCTGATGAAGAAAATTGCAGTAAGTTTATTAATTTATTATTTTTTTTTATATAAAAGATTTTTAAGACAATTATTAATACTATATTATGTTTTATTATTACATAATAATACATTATTGTACATTGTAAACAATATAAAATATAAGAAAATTAATTGAAAATTTTAGACATATATGTTTATAAACTATTAATTAATTCATAAGTAAATACCTTATGTATGTATGTATGTATGTATGTATGTATTATATAAAAATTGAATTACTATTACTTAATAACATACATCTTTTTCATAATAAAACAGTAAAATTAAAATATGGTCAAGAAATTTAACTACCTCATTATATTTTTAGCCTATGTTACTACTATTTCACTGTGTCATAGTGATGAATTTTACTGTGGAGATGGTACATGCATTCCTCATATGTGGGTTTGTGATCTCAAATATGATTGTTTGAATAAAGCAGATGAACAGAATTGTGGTAAATATAAATTAAATTGTTAGATAAGTTGTTCTAGACTTATAACTTCTTGTATACTCTAATATATAGTTAATTATATAAGATTTCCAGTCTTAATGTAGAGAATTATGTTTTTAGATCAATGCAAAAGTGATTTGAAAATAGTTAATGAAGAACTATGTAAAACTAGGCACCATATTCAAATACCATATCTTTCAAATATTAATTTTGTGAAAGGTATCTAAATTGTATTTGGAGTGCTGTCAATCAATTTGCTGTATTACTAGGCTATAATAAGGCTACATATACATACAGTATAAATACTGCATACTACATTTTTTTGGAAGCAGTAAGCCCAGGCTAGATAGTAATCTTTGTGTCTAGGAATAATTGATGTTTTGGTATTATAATTAAATAATATAAACAAAGAAAAAAGAAAAAATTGTCCTTAGGTGAAGAATAAATACTATATTTATATCATGTAAAATGTATAGTATAATTATTTTTGTGCGCCAAATATGAATTTATTATAAATTTTAACTTATAAAATTAACCATAAAGTAGAAGTAAAAATANTAATATAAACAAAGAAAAAAGAAAAAATTGTCCTTAGGTGAAGAATAAATACTATATTTATATCATGTAAAATGTATAGTATAATTATTTTTGTGCGCCAAATATGAATTTATTATAAATTTTAACTTATAAAATTAACCATAAAGTAGAAGTAAAAATAGCTGTAAGAGACTGTTTCTATGTACACAACATAGAAACAGTCTCTTACGGTTATGTCTGTTCTCATTAATGAGATGTTTCAGATGCACAAAGAAGGCCTTAGCAGAACTTGGTCTGCTGAAGTGGACTCCCCTGATGTTTGTTGCATAGTGAATAACATATTCTGGCATCAGCCTGTACTGATAACAAAAGCAATGTTTGTAATGCTGACGGTTGAGAAATTCCTGTTGATTAAATCTGTCCTAAATGATGAGGGTCCTGACAACTATAATACTAAAATTCAGAGACAGGTTTTTCTTTTATTGAACTTTGATCAAGATAAATAATATATTCTTTGTTTTAGACACATCATGTAATTATGCACATAACTTTTGTATTTAGCAGTATTAATTTCACCAGTTTGCATTGACTCTCTGATCTAATTCTTGTGTTTTTTTATGTATCATATGATGCTTTTATTGACATAATATGTGACAGTAGTTCATATGTTTGAGAGATCTCAACACTCGTCTAGAAGCTNAATGGTGTTTGGATAGTCGGTGGAATCACGCTCGACATTCCAAACACCATCGTCAAACTTTTAGGCTTACGGGAAAGCGGCGCCGAACGTCACACGTACACGTTTACACGTTTAAAACGTGCGCCTCAACCTCTCTAATATTTAGTTATTTTAGCAGTTAATTTTATAATATTTGAAAATAATTGTTTTTACAAGAAATATGCCTGAGTTTTATTGCAGATATAAATAAAGATTTTCATATAGTAGTATCTGCAACAAAATTCATAAATAAGATCAAGTAATTAATAGGTGAATCAATAAAGGCTGATGTACATCAGCCATTATAATTTATTGTGAAATAATGCTGAAGCATTATAGCATTATATATTACAGCATGCATAGCTTGTGTGCATCAGCCTTAACTTTAACTCAGGATTGTAGTTAAAGAATTTAATATCTCTAAGTATTATATTATGTATATCATAAATATACAACATAGTGACACTTGCCTATTGAACAGTTTCTTTGTTTATTTGTTTGAATAAGCATTAAGCTTCTGAATATTTCCTATAGATACAGTTTATTGACAATTGACAGCATCATATAAAAACGTGAAGTGAGAGATGCAGTTAATATAAGTAGCTAGATTTTACCAATCATGTTTACAAAACATAGTTTCATACTCTTTGGTTAATGGGACACCAATCATTTTCGTTACTACTTTTAGTGAAATCAATATTTTATTTTGTATTTCATACATATTTAAAATTTAAATGAAATAATGAACAATTTACAAAGTAATAAACTTACTACAATTACTTTTTATGTTTTGAATATGTTATCCTCTTGCTGGCTCTACAAAATTATACTTGTGATTTACTTGCAAATGTTCATATTTGGCTTATTCTAACTCGCAATTTTTGTAGGCTTTCCAACAGTCTGAAAATATTATACTTCCTTCTTTCATGTTATTTTATATTGCATCTATCAATGTTTTAGCTGAATGATCATGCATAGTTAGTAAAAAACAGTATTTTGACTCTTGGCAATTTCCACCAAATGTCCGCTGCTGCGGAAGAACACATTCAACATTTTGTTTTCTACATGTATATTGACTTTTGTCCACCTCAATGACTTTGTTTGCACCACTCAAACATAAGGCATGTAATCATTCCAATCACCAATTGTGCTGGGATTATTTCCTAACTCACCATGTAAGATTCTAATTTTTAAGAAAAAAGAATCTCAATTTCTTCGTCAGTTGACAATTGCAATATTCTAAAATCCATTTTAAATTGAAGAATAACAAACTGACCAAAAGTAACAGTTACTGCAAACTTTGAAAAAAAAGTTACAGTATCTAACTTTGAGGTTCATCATGCCTACCAAGAAACATAATTTACATAACCAAATGATGCTGAATGATGCAACATTGAGATGCGATTCTATGCAAAATAGCAAAGTAAATTGGAAATAAATTAAAAAATGAACTTTTAATTATTATTATTATTTTCATTTATAATTTACAACCAAATAACATAAAATAACAAGTTATATGTATAATTTACAACTAGAAATTAAATTTTAACTTTGCAGTTATACTGACGCAAAAATATTCGATACGATATGTGTATTAACAATCATTGTTTAACTTCCAAATTGACTTTTATAACTGTTATACAAACTTAAAGAAAAGAGTAAGTTTGCATTCTAATTAACTTTAAATACAATTTAAACTAAAATAAATCAAATATTAAGATGCAAACAGAATCAGATTTTATCGATTGACTAGTGTCCCGTTAACCGAAGAGTACCCATAGTTTCAAAGCAATAGTATATGTGATGATTAGTGTTATTGTATTATTAATCACTATATCAATAAAATAATAAATATAAAAGTAATAGTTAAAAGGAAAGAAGTTTATAAATGCATTTTTTTTAAGGAATACATCAACATAAAAAATATTTATTAAAATTGCATTTATAACTATGATTGGAAATAATTTCTTATCTGAAAAAATTTAATCTGAAATTGGATATAATAGGAGATAATAAAATAACCACAAATCTTCAGCAAATACATTTTAATTATGAATATTTTTGAGCATTCATTGAGCAATGACTATCCTCAAGTAACCTCATAAGCAAAAAGAAAAGCTGTTAAAAGAATGCATACAAATAAATTTATTTGTATATGTACTTTTAACAGCTGTTTTATTTTGTACAGAATTATTTTAGGATAGCAATCCAAAATGCTCAAAATATTTATAATTAAAATTTATTTGCTGAGGATCATAATACTGTTTATTTATTTATTTTTTTTTCATTTTGTAATGGATTCTAAGAAGTAATATGGTATATGATTAATTAGCCAAGAAAAATAATTACTGTAAAGGAGTTTGTTTTTGAAACATTTTGTAAACTTTTCTCAAACTTACAAATATATAACATCTTTATGTATATTTTTTAATTATTCTATTATTAAATTATCTTCATATTTTTATTATTAAGTGAATTATTATTTTATCAAATATTTAAAAAAAATCTTTATTTTTGAAAATATTTATTTGTTTTTTTTATAGGAAATGTTACCTGCAGTCCAAAGGAATTTTTCTGTGAAAATGGAGAGCAGTGTTTGCCAAGTCATGTTAAATGTGATGGCTATAATGATTGTAATGATAATTCTGATGAAAAAGATTGTGGTAAGTTAAAATTTTAGATTACTTTATGAAACATACTTTTTAGATTACATTTTTAAAAATAAGTTTATTGAAGTTTATTGCTTCAAAAAGTTTCGTATGTTTGTTTTAACCCAGATATTGATTTATTTTTCATTCAGATATGAGTGTGAAGTCCTCTTGTATATATCCTAATCAAACTTGTGACAATGGTACACGTTGCATACAGATTTCAAAATATTGCGATGGTATACTAGACTGTGAAGATAAAAGCGATGAAGAAGATTTATGTGGTAAGACATTTGAATTGAATACAAACAATATATAATAAGAATTTTAAGATTTCTTACATAATAATAATTTTGAATGAAAATATGTGAAAAATTATATTACTTAGAGCAATCATATATAGTAAAAAGTATAATAAAATTATTCTTTAATATTTGAGATTAGAGAGAGAGAGAGAAAGAGAGAGGGAAATTCAAAAAAATCAAAATATTTAATTTGATTATATTCTGTTTAGGATTTTTACTTCTTTCTTCAGATCAACTATATTCTGATAGTTCAAATTGCACAACTGTATGTGCTTATAAACTTTTAAGTCAAACTGTTGACAGCTTATGTTAAAAAGTTTTTTAAACAGATATAATCTATAAAGTATCTGGTACTTTTAACTATTTGAGAAGTACAAGAAGATTATAGTAAATATGAAATATTACTAGTTAATAATACTTCTGTGTTATGTAATGGTTAAAGAACAAAATATAAAGAAAAATAAGTAATAGATAAACTTTTTTCTTTTTTAGTAGTAAAGGAGTCCAACAAGTTTGATAAGATAAACTTTTTTTTATGACTAAATGCATCTCATCTAACAATGCAATGGACTTAGTCTCATCTATCAATATTACTATACTTATTTATTTTTTATTATTTATGTATTTTATATTTAAATAAATTCACAGAGAATGAAATAATACATTTCAGATATAAGTTAATAATCAGTAGGTTTTTGCAATAGTTTATTTGGAATGGATGTTATATTTTTTCGAAGATGTTTAGATAATATAATTTAGTTACAGAGATATAAAATATAAAGCAATAAATTTGACATATGATGACTTAACTAGTCAAGATGGTAAAGGTATCAATCTGCTTGCTGCTTTTGGAACCTGGATTTGAATTTGAGTTAGAATTATAGAAATTCTCAGGGGTAGTTTGATTTGGATATATTGGGTTCTCTCTCACACTTGGCTATTCCCATTATGAACATGGCTCATACATTTGTTTAACAGTGTGTCAAGATAGAAAATGTATGAATAAAAACTATTACATTTAATAGTCTAGAAATTAGAATATTACATAAAAATTGTCAAAAAGATAATATATATTGTCGTTTGTTGACTCAATAAATTATATTCTATTATTTTTGAAATAAATGTTTACAATTTAATTAAAAGAAATAACTTGAATAATAAAAGATAATCCTTGTTATTTTTGAAAATATTTTGTTTGAATATAAAAATGCTATACAATTTTTGGAATGTAAAACATAAAGAAAACATCGATTCTATTGTAAGTTACTCAGAACAATTCACTACTAACAGGAATGTTTATTCTGTATGATCAAATAGCATCAAGCAATCAAGCTAAATAATTTCAGAATTATTAACTAGAGTGGAAGTTTAA